CGGGATTCAAACCCACGACCTATCAGTCTCTCGCGCAAGCGCTTAATTACTAGACCACTGAGATAGTAACTCACAGATAACAATTGTGGATGTGTCGCTCAACTTCGTGGATTAGTTGAAGTTAGACATTAACACCGCTGGATGCCGGCTCAATAATCAAAGTAATTATTCTAAAATCAAGTAGTTGCTACGTTTACATTCATCAAAATATTGTGCTAGTTCCATCTCCTTTTTATATATTATGCAACATAGCAACTACTTGATAAAGTTATACAATAGAAAAGAATTTTGAATGCAGATTATCTAATATAGATCATCGGAATTTATTCAATCACTTATACGTTTATGTAAATCAATATACCATAGAAGTTAACTTCTCAAAATAAATCATATTGAGTAATGGTGTATCGTGACAGTTAACCTTTAAACAAAAAGAAAAGTTGTCTAGTTTTGTTTTGAAACCAACTCATTAGATTTAGTATTGAATTGAAATAATCAATTATGACCTCGTGAACACATATACAGGTTTTACTATTACTTTCTATAGTGTAATAAGAAGACGAAGATTATCAGAGCTATGTGATATAGATTAGCTTGATACCTTTCGAAAAGTCTGATCTCACACATTATATACTTGTTAAGAACGTTTATTTCTGAAGAATAAAAGCTCAAATAGATGAGAAATGGGGGGGGGGAGTAAGAGGAGACAAAAGTGATAAGGAAAATAATGTGAAAACAATTTGAAACCTCATCACTCTGGATAAAAAGCTAATATTACCAGGGTAGGTCTAAGATAAGAGCAAACTGTTCTTAAATAAACAAAGGAGGTTTGAATTTTCGTATAGCTAAAGATTCAATAAACCTTAGTATATACGCCCTTTTATACTTTTGTACAATACTACAAAAGCCGAGTTAAGATCAGTCTTATGACCTGTTTCAATTATTTGTTTGATAATAGAGGATGATGGATGTTTATCCTCTACTCTTATTGGGTCATTTGATTCTGCAACCATTTATGTAAATCCTCACAAACCCTAACTTGAGATCACGATTACTACTACTATTTTGACTTTCAAAGTTAAAATTACTTTTGACCAGTAGTTATCTAATATTGTATTCAACTGTTTTCAAATTGTGTAATTTCACTCATGCATACTAAATGAAATAATCAACCTATACAAAACATTTGACAGTAGTGAACAGAAAATTGTTATAGCTTGGTGCCAAAGACCATGAATGAGGATTTATTATACATGAAACATAAACACTATGTCTGAATGCACTGAGTTTTATGTACTTTATCCATACTGACAAGTAGTCAAATTTGAGTAAAGCGAACTGCGTAGTACTAGATATTAATTAGTTAATAGTTAAGTATATGTTTACAACTTAAAATATTCTAAGAATAAAGTCCAGTAATCTATAAATGTAATCAACTTGCTGAATTCTATGATTACTTCAGCTTAATAATACTCACAACTAATATAATTCAAATACAAACAGAAAACTTGTCTAGTAATAAATCGAGTTCTTTTGTTCTTCTAAACATGGTACATTTTCAGTTGGCTGCTTTAAATCAAATGAAACTGTTGTATATCAGTTGGTTGGAGGTGTTTATCAGATAACTCTGGATCTAGGCTCAATATTTGTCATCAGGAGGGATCTGATGCTTCCTGGTAGATTCAACCATAGTCCAGAGTTTCATAGTCTGAGACGCCCCCTTTGAAATATTTGAACGTCCTGTTGGCTGAGGGTGGAACTATTGGCTAAAGTGAACCAACTAGTCCATAACATGGGTTCAAGGTTTCTTACCGACTATCTCCAACAACTTAATACCAAACATAATTCATGTGTTATTGAGTCATTAGGACCAATCAGTCAATCAGTGTAAGTTTCACATATATAAATAGGGTCTACACTATTGCAATCAGAACAAAAAATTGATATTTCTACTAGTCAATCTGCTTTAGGCCTATATAAAGTCTTGATACATTACCGCCCTTAAGACTTAATAAGATAACTTCATTTAACAGTGAATATTTCCCCCGTATATAACAGAGTTTTTCCTAAAGGTTTTACTTATATACCCAATTCTAGTCCTTTTGGACAATTGAAGAACAACTTATGAAACACATCTTTGAATGAAAATAGTTACACAAAGGTTGTATTACTGAGTTATAGAGTTGATATTACATATGACGTTAATGAGTTTGACTGTCGTGTAAGCGGAATAGGTCAACTTCGGCCTGTTCGTGCTGTGCATAATGGATTCACGCGATCATTGATCGGAATAACTATACATGTGATGTGAATGTGTATATGAATGGTGCGAATGGTCCACGAGGGTGCTTGGTACCTGTGTGGTTGCGCCACAGGATTGAGCTGTACTATTCAGATTGTAGCGTTAAAGCCTATAAGGTGTCTGGTTCTTCTGTGAAGCGGGATTGAGCTGTACTGGTCGGGTTATGAAATTTAAACCTGGGCGGTGCTTGGCCCTCACGTTAAACGGAATTGAGCTGTACTGTTTGGGTTGTCACGTGAAAGTCTGGATGGTGTCTGGTTCTCCTGAAAACCAATGTAAAATTACCCTGGCCCACAAGGGTATATTATAAAACTATGACATTCTATAAAGCAAAATACAACTATGAAAATGGATATTTTTCAGTACTATATTCATACTATTAATTATTACTAAGTAGTAAAACTTAGAAAACCAATATTCTGTGTCTGTTGGCTTTAAAAGATGTCATAATATCTACATTAAAATGTACCTAAAGACATTTTTCTACTCTGATAGTGGCGTGCTTACCAGTTAGAATAAGAATGAATATTTCAAACCCGATCATTATTTAAAATACAAATTGACATCAATAATCCCCGTTACATAAATTCATACGATGTATAAATATTAAGATTAAACTGATTTAATAAATAACGAAACCAGTCATACCTAAGTATCTAATTGAAAGATTTTCTTATCTACTATATTTAAATGTCGCAATTATTATGTACTTATTGAAATAAACTATGAAAATTGATTAAAGAAAAATTAGATATGTAATATAATCAAAAACATCTTCACTAAAACTGTCTATCATTCAAATACATTGACCTCTATTGTAATTCATTCAAATTATGAACTCAAAACTAGACTAGAAAATGTAATACAACAAAATGATTATATTTCTTAACAAGATTCTAGTACTCTGGTAATCATATGGTGTAAAAATTAACTAGTTAAGAAACTAGTCTAAACTGTGATATATATATATATATATATATATATGCATTCTTAGTATATGTTGTGACGTTGATTTTCATCATTCATATCAAATATGGAATATAACTCCATATTTATAAACAGTCAGAATAGTTTCTCACATAAAATACAAATATTGACCAATAAATTGTTTAAATAACTTATATGTATATCATTTATGGAACACAAATAATAGTTCACTTGGTATTGTTTGACTTGTATCTTCCCATTGAGGTTTAAGACTACAATTGATCAGTCTGTTATTGGCATGTGTGCATACTGTGCGTATGCCTCGATATTCTCTTAGTTCACAGACTTTTGGTAAGCAATTATGGATAGTGGCTAGCAGTGGAATCCAGTTTGACGCGCGTTTCGTCCTATTTGGGACTCATCATCTGGATGTACCTCCATCATAGAGTTGATATTCACTCCGTGACTGAATAACAATGGGGAGATACAAGTAAAACAACACCAAGTGAACTGGAAGACTTTTATTTTTATAATTATATCAACTCTGAGATGCAGGTACATCCAGCTGACGAGTCCCAAATAGGACGAAACGCGCGTCAAACTGGATTCCACTGCTAGCCACTATCCATCATTGCTTACAAATAATAATTTGTTCGAGAATTGATATATAAATGAATCCCAAGTAATATTAAATGACGTAACAGGAGATGAAACTGTATCAATTCTAAATTGGGGGCGGTTATTCTGAAAGTGCTGACTAAACTCGATTGTATAAAAAATGTAAGTCGATTACACTTATATAGTTAAATATGACATTTGATTAGAAGATGAAGTTATTTTCCTTAATATTATGAAACTCAAGTGGAATTTTTTAATTTCTTCAGATAATTAAAATAACCCCCTGATTATTATGTGATCTCATTTGATAATTAGAATCTCGAATCACTTTATAATCTTTCCATAGACCTGTCAATATAGTACGAGATAATCTCTCCAATGAGAGAAACTGACTTATACGACTAGACCAATGACTCCTTAACATATACGAGAAGCCCAGAGTTCTTATTGGTCCTTTGAGATAGTAGCTTATCGTCTGACACTAAATGAACACTAAACAACAATATCTGCTTCGTTTTCTACCCTAGACTTCTTTCTTGAATTTGCATTTCTGAAATTTATGAATCTTTGATACTTAGATGTTACATTATAAGCAAAGATGGATAGTGGCTAGCAGTGGAATCCAGGACGCGCGTTTCGTCCTGTTTGGGACTCGTCAGCTGGATGTACCTGCATCTCAGAGTTGATGTTCACTCTGGGACTCGAACTCAGTACCGTTCGTTTCAAACGCCATCGCGTTATCCACTTAGCTACTGAGATGCAGGTACATCCAGCTGACGAGTCCCAAACAGGACGAAACGCGCGTCCTGGATTCCACTGCTAGCCACTATCCATCTTTGCTTATAATGCTTGTAAATTTAGGCAATATCGAGGCATACGCACAGTATGCACATATGCCAATAAGAGACTGATCAATTTCAGTCCAAAAACATCAATGGGAAAATTCAAGTAAAACAATGTCTTAGATGTTACAGTTTTAACTTAAATTTCACAATAATAAGACAGTATTATCAAAGAAACTAAATATATTACACTAATCGATTAATGATATCATTACATTTTGGCTATGATCACAATACTTTACTTGAGACTCCTATGATTACAAGCGATTTAGAAATCTTTTCATTTTATTTTCTTATATAACCCATTGATAATGGGTAATCAATCATTGGAAATTGGTATAACCTTACTTCAATTAATGCCATTTTATTTGTGGCAACTGGGTAAATTATCTTCGAAATTGTGGTTTTTAAACTCAGCAATTCAAATAAAAATGGGTTGCTGAGTAGGTCACAGGATGTATGGATCTATAACGAAAAGTCATTTGAAAGTAAGTATTTCTCCGCATAACTTGCTTTTCATTGAAATATTTTAATGGGATTTTTTATTGCACTAAAATCTGCTGAAGAAAGATTTTGTGTTATAAGTTTTTAATAAGTATCTAAAGTATTCATTTATGTTAAAAGCAATTACTTACTTACTTACTTACTTACTTACTTACTTACGCCTGTTACCCTTCATGGAGGACCATAGGCCGCCCACAAGCACTCCCCAACCAGCTCTGCCCTGAGCAATCTTTTCCACTTGTTTCCAATTGCTATTCATTTTTCTGATGTCTGTTTCCAATTCTCGACGCAGTGTGTTATTCGACCATCCACTTTGCCATTTCTCTTCAGCATAGCGCTTGCCTCGTGATGCAGTGTGGTGATTTTCGTAATGTATTTCCTATCCACTTCCGAAATCTTTCCCCAATTTCCTCTTCATCTTGAAGCTGGCTTGTCCTCTACCACAGTAGGCTGTTGCTGATGGTATCCGACCGATGGACATTCAGTATCTTACGTAGACAACTACATATAAATACTGGTACCTTCTTGATGATAGTTGTAGTAGTTTTCCACATTTCAACTCTGTACAGTAGGACTGTCTTGAAGTTCGTATTGAAGATCCTAACCTTGATATTGGTTGACAGTTGTTTTGAGTTCCATATGTTCTTCAATTGTAGGAATGCTACCCTTGGCTTGTCAATCCTTACCTTTACGTCTACATCAGATCCTCCTTGTTTATCGATTATGCTTCCCAGGTACGTGAAAGATTTCACATCTTCCAGATATATTATAACCAGTTTGTTAATTGAGATAACCAGTCCATATCCATTCAAATATATTTTTATCTACATTAAAATATATTGCTAAATAATATTTAACCTCCACAGTAGCAAAACGTGTTCTCTAGATAGCATCTTAGTTACTCTAAGATTTGAATAATTTTTTATGGTTAGCGTTTTTTAGCGAGTTAGTTTTCTACGGGATGGGGTCGCTGACCCCATGCCCAACCCTCCTCCTTTATCCGGCCTTGGGACCGGCAGTAGCCCCCGGAGGGACTCCAGGTGGAGTTAGTTACTCTAAGACTATACATCAAATTATATATTCCATACACTAAAGTCTAAAAAATCATTTGAGATTATTTGGTATATGAAACATATATGTTCAAGCAGAAACTTAAATAATACTCCGTGAAAATTGTCTCTTCAAAAAGTATACTTATTGATTGGTTGGTTGATAAACACTTAACTAAAGTGACCAAATAGATGGGTAATCATGAAGTAATATGTCACATTCAAAACAAATTCATGCGAAATGTATAATTTCTAAAAATTTTAACTTTAACCAACCAGAGTAATCATTTCTGAAATGATCATTTTAATATTTTGAAACCGTAAGCGTCAAGTTGAATACGGTGTATGAGAACTCACTTCCTTAGCTAGGAATTCTTAAATATCCCTTGAAATTTTCAATAAATACACATACAAATAATACTGTCTTATCGTTGGCTGGAGCTTCAGCAAAACTTGTTTTATGATTGCCTTCTCAGTGATTAGGAGTTAGATTAGAGTTATTTACAAGAATAGTGTATACGTCTATTATGAGTGTGTTCGTTTTATTGGGTCAGGCTTTTGGATTGTGTAGCCTATTTGCTATATAAATCAATAGGATATGAAAAGAAATAATTAACAAATTTGTACTAACTAAAGTAAACATTATTTATATTAAAAAAATGCCTAAACAAACTAAAACAGATACAAATTATAAGCAAAGATAGGTAGTGGCTAGCAGTGGAATCTCGGACACTCGTTTCATCCTATAATGCTTGTGAATTAAGGTAATATCGAGGCAATACGCACAGTATGCACATATGCCAACAAGAGACTGATCAATTGCAGTGCTAAACATCAATGGGAAGACTCAAGTACACAATACCAAGTGAATTACAGATACGAATTATTTATTAAATAAGAAATAATAATGAAAAATTTAAAAGGTCAATTAAAGAAATCTAAAATGCTGAACATTTGACCTTATCATATGTTATGATGATTTTGTTTGCTATACGATAAGTCTGTATATAGGCTTTATTATTGTTCACTAGGGTTATTTTAATGACAAAACACGTAAACGTCACATGAGAGAAACTTTACTACATACTCTCTTTAGATACCCACAAGATAAATATCATCTTTAAGAGTTGCGTAGTAAACTATATATATCGGTCTAAAACAATATTATTGCCACAACAGTTGATAGTACAATTAAATCCTCAAAATATTTATTTATTCTTTCAGGAAAAAAGTATTTCCCTTGACTACTGAACGGTATATTGACTTCCTGTTAACAAATTGTAAATATTTTAATATCAAGACAAATTATCCACTTATAAATGTTATATCCTTAGTCAGTCAGTAGTTGTGATTCGAATCCAATTCACTTGACCTGAATAAGTCTGTTGGTATTGATGATGATGAATAATAATTGTATGATTCAAACATAGATTACATAAACCAGATAGACTTGGACAGGATAGTATGTAAACTAATAGTTTTCGAAGATAATATGATTATCATTAGTCATTTGAATGAGACTACTAAATTGTTTCAGTAGGATTTAATACTTTACATATTTGAACTGATATTTATTATTATGAAACTATACACTTAACGATGCCAAAGACTGTCTCATATCGATCTTTGGACAGTAAAGTTCCATGTATTGTTTTTCCAGATAGTGGACCACTTGATCAAAAAAATCCGTAAGCCAACTATGCCGAAGAATTCGTCAGCGACCTCACGAAGTACTCCCCTAAAAACTCTTCAAATCAATAAAACTATAGCAAACCATATTTTAAGCACTAGATTTTATCCAAACTTTTAACTTGCAATGGACAAGAATTAAAATGAGAATCAAGATCTATCCATTTCATCTACTTTATCTAATGTTTTATGCTCTTGGGAAACATTATTCGTATCTCCACTTACATTTATCATGTCATATAACTTAGTAACTCATTAATTTACTGTCTTCGAATGTCGATTAGTCAGAAAATATAATCCCTATCCCAAGTTATGTAGTCATTATCGCTTATCTGACTTTACACAGAACAAAATTTCAGTTGGAATTGTTTATGAGTTACAGTGCTTTTCAGAGTATTAAATATCACACTTATGTAGGATTGAATAGCTTGAGAGCAACGTTGTTGTTGTTGTAGATGATCTCCGTGCTGAACACAGAAATTATCACTCAGATTATTATTAAGTAACTAATTATTGTGTAATGTTTTATGGCCTCAAACAGTTAAATCCGGTATTTCTATATTCTTGACTAATTCTTCTTGTCCTAGATATTTGGTCTTCTTACTTATATTGTTATACTAGTCCTATTCAAGACAACAAAGGTTATTCTCTTCAAAACTGGGTCTATATTTTAAACTAGACTAACGTTCCTTCCTAACACTTGGATTCTTTGAAACATACTTCATCATTCCGATAAGGGACTAGCATGACAAGCCGCGGAGAAAAACGAAAATCTAATACATTACCTACATTGCAGATAACAATCCATCCCTATCGAAAGTATAGCTGTGAATAGAAACACGAACAAGATATTTGAATAGTAATTGTTCATAGCCATCAGTCTTTTGTCTCTCATATCGTGCCAAGATTCGTTGAATCACGCTAAAGATACATTCATCTCCAAATAGTGTTATTCAAATTACCGGCACACATATCTACCCACAAACTGGTGGAAAACTTACGAGGATATTCTCTTCCTAATTTGAGGTGTCGGGTTTACACTGACCTATCCTAAAAGTTAGTCAGTGTATCATCTGAATGCGACTGGCATTGGTATAAAATAATGGAGGGAAAAAGGATAGGATATCCCTTATGATATAATGTTAACGAACAACGATATCAAATTCTGGATGAAAAAAAAACTAGTTTTCTTGCTCTTAATTTCCGTACTTCGTTACCTATTACACAGTAAATATACGAATAGCTCGATTTACTTTCTACTAGTTTACGTTTACAAACAAAATATCTAAATATTTCGCAAACAATTAAACTAAATGATAGCACGAAAAATACAATTGACATCATAGAAGTGTATGAGCAATAATCACTGAATTAGTTATTTTAAAATATATTTGCAAAACAGGTATTTACATGATTATATTTCAGAAAATGTAAACTGTTCGAACTAAACCAACAGTCAGACCGAAAAGCAATTACAACAAACAATAAATGCAACCGTGTTTAAACACAAAACAGTTCTATTTCGAACAGTATTATACCAACAGAAGCACTAACTGGTTTTACAGTATGCATTTTATCAATCAAAAATAATTAAATTAGTCCCATAGAAACATGAGTTAGTAAGTCATCTGTAAAGACCGAGATAAGTTTGAATATCGGTCGATCATTTTGTATCAAGGAGTTTCGTATTGAAGTAATTATTTGCAGTAAAATGTACAAGGCCCATATCAACCAGCTCGTCCAGATGTTGGAAGAGGTGCGTGCGATGAATTGGAGAATAGGGACTTATTGGTTCCAGTACCACTAGATCGCCAGAAGTTACCACTAGATGAATTACCCCCTCTTTTTTGGCCATATCCAAAAGAACGTTGATTGTGATATCCTGTCCTTCTGGGATACTGCTGTGGAACAGTACCAAAAGTTGCTGAATTGAGGAGTCTTTCGTCCCGTCTGTTCATTCCTTGAGGATTTAGGCTGAATAAAGCACGATTTCGTTAGATTAGCAAGCAGTAGGCAAAAATCAACTAGAAATACCAAATAATAGACTAATAGGTACTAACAAACGGAAACCATCTAGTTTATCATAACCGGTATATGATTTTGTGACTATGATAAGCTTAACATTAAACATGTAAACAGGGCAAAAACGCTCTAGTAATAAACAGAAGTATAAAAATTGAAAATTAAATACAACAAACTAACAAATTTAGAATACTCCATTCCAGAAAACCTAGCTTATAAGAAATTTTACTTTATGAATGAACGTATACAATTAAGTGTTTGGAAGGAAAAATGATCACGTTTCGGGTGTTAAGTGAACCAAACCTCAAAGCTTGTTATAGCCCAAAGCCGCCAATCAAAAGCAGCGAATTATCGACCGGACCAAGGATGCGTAAAACACGTCCAAGCAGCCTAGAGTCCTGATTGGTCCTGCTTTCCGCCTAGCCCAGCCAGTTCAGAACACCAGTCTCAGCCTTTGTAATATGAATCATATTTCAAACATACTGAGTTTATATACCAATCAAACAGACCACAACGTACCAACAAAATATAAAACATTTGTACACGAATTAGCCAGATGTGGCTGTGAATGAGGGAGGCAGTGACTAATAGACGGAATAATTCAAGAATGGAAGATCGTATAATAACAGTTTATAGGTTAAAATAAAGCTTATGATAAGAGAAATGAATATGAATAGTTTAGTTAATTAACAATTATACGGTAAAAATATACGTATAGTATTGGTCCACAAATGGATCCCAAAGATTATCACTCATTGCTCTTATCGGGGCATAACAAAGCTCCAAACTTGACTGAATAAGAACAACAATATTAACAAATGTTTTAACCACTAGCATATCCTATTCACAGTACATGACATGACTCCCATAAGAGCTACATAGTGGATTCCAATACTAGGTGTAATAGATTATTAATATTACCTACTGAACTGAATAAGACTTTTGGGATAAAAAGTCACGTATGATCTCAACGCCTTCTTTTGACTGCCACGAAAATCAGTCCCACAAAATTAGTTGTAAATATTTGGAGGCTTATATCAGTTTGAAATGTTACTAGTAACTTAATTCTGAGAGGTGGGATTTGCTTTGTCTACGCTAACAATGTAAAGCATGTACCTGAATTTAGTTGTAGTTTCCAGCGCTGTAAAACATCCTTATGTAATTCGACAACAAAGTAAATGTTTATGCACTTAACTTTAAGTATCCATAAAATACATTATCCAATTATACAAACTAAACTAGAACAACGTTTTAGTCACCAACCCTAAAGTTGAAAATCAGATATCTCGACATCAATGGTCACTGTCTCCTGATTTCATCGATAAGACAACATGATACGCTCATTGAGAAGGTACTGTGAGAATTCAAGTCGAAGAGGTTACCCGAATGTACTTTAGTATCAACGCTGATGTTGTTTAAGACCCAACAGTATGCCAATGGCTGTAATATATATATATATATATATATATAGACAGTATGAAGGTTTACAACGCGGCTATTTTCCCTATTCTCGAGAAAATAAGCACAGAGAGTAAGGAAACCATAAAATCCTTAGATCGGTTGTGAATACAAACTAAATCTAATTATCAAATTGGTGCTTGTGTAGTTTACGGCAGGTATCGAAATACTTTCTGACATGAAAAATTGACAAAACACGTTGTCTTAAAGGCATATTCTGAAAAAGAGAAATAAGGTTATACGTCGCACACTCAGAATTTCAAATGAAATTATTACTTACCCATTTGCGCGGTCCATCATCTCGGAACTAATAGTATCGAAAAACGACTTGGATTTATCATAGCACGTGTTTTCATCCTCAGTTGTGCTGCTTCCATCATTCTCCGCGTTGTCGACGGAAGTACCTGACGAACCTGTTTTCTATAAACAGAAATCACAGTATATCCAACACTTACAGTACTGATCGTTATTTTTTCCAACTCAGCTGCAAGTTCTGCGTTAGCTCTTTCATAGTCATATTCTACCGAAAAGTTGGTGTGCTCATTTACTGTAGATGCATTTGACCTGAATTTAGGCCAATCATGACCACCCGCTGACCGACCACCCCAACCACCATAAGTATGCCCAGAACCCCTGGAGCCACGATGGTTTGCCGACCATTGTTGACTATATCCTCCGCGCCTATCTCTTGAGTAATCATGCCCCTGATAATAATTAGGTGTATTTTTGTGAGTGTCACCCTTTCTAACCCCTTGATCTCGGTTAACCCATGACTGTGGGTAGTCGTTATGCACACCAGATCCTAAGACGGCACGATGTCTAGAAGGACCTAGTCCAGACTCTTGAACATCCCTAGAATTTGTACCTCCTCTTCCAGATGTGCTGAAAATCCCTGGGTCTATGTCGCTACGCATATCTCCAAATGGTCTTTGGCCACGTGTATCAGAAACCTGGGGGCTATCAGCATGAACGGTCCCTATAGGAGCCGGCCGACAACCAACTGCAGGCATCTGGTACGAAGAATTGTTCGGGTAGGTATTCTGATTTAGGCTATCAAGTGAGACAGATTGAGATGCTGGTATGGGAGACAACTCTGAGCATCCAGTAGAAACACGACTAGGATTAAGATCTGCAAGGAATAGAGTAACAAAGTGAAAACCCACCCAAGCGACCTCTACTTTCATTAACTGGGAGTCCAGGAGGGTGGGACAAAGCAGACTAATTACATAAATAAGTAGAGAAAGTACATACCCCAGGTGCTGCACTAACGATTGCAGAGTCTTCATTCAAAAATACAGAAGACTGCACGACACGTACATCGTCTAGATCCCGGCCACGAAACACTACCTGATTATACTCTTCATTCCGAGGAGCAACTGGTCGCTCACAAGGACGGTCCTCAGTGCCAAAAGACCAAACTGTAATAATGAAACTAAGAAAGAACATTTAATACCCTTTGAAAGAGTAATAACAGGTTCGTTGGGCGTGTCAAAATCTATGGAGTGAAGGTTTCCTTCATATCT